ACTGTCAGCTTTAATTTGAGGGTATTTACATCCAAATCAGGTGAACAGTATAGGAATTACAACAGTTTGCATATGTGCCTCCCACTTGTTAAGGGACCAAAAGTAATGGGACAATTGGCTTCTCAGCTGTTCCATGGCCAGGTGTTTGTTATTCCCTCATTATCCCAATTACAATGAGCAGATAAAAGGTCCAGAGTTCATTTCAAGTGTGCTATTTGCCTTTGGAATCTGTTCCTGTCAACACTCAAGATGAGATCCAAAGAGCTGTCACTTTCAGTGAAGCAAGCCATCATTAGGCTGAAAAAACAAAACAAACCCATCAGAGAGATAGCAAAAACATTAGGCGTGGCCAAAACAACTGTTTGGAACATTCTTAAAAAGAAGGAACGCTACCAATTTTGATTCCCAAACGAGAACTAGTCTTCCTGCAGGCTGCAGTCTCCAGATTTGTTTGGAGGGGGAAAGCGCCCTAGGCTGAACAAATCTACCTTGTTTTCTTTGAAGAGGCATGGTGGTTTGGGACTCCCTAATCTTTTCGCATATTTTCAGGCGGCCCAAATAGCACAATTATCTTGTACTACGGCCAGGGGATATGTCCCCCAATGGGTTGGGATTGAGGCTCTTTCGTGCCGTCCATATGCTATTATTGGTACTCTCATGTGGCTTCCCAATAGATTGCGCCCTCCTATTTTGTGTCCTACTCTATCTTATTCATTGTCAGTGTGGGATAGATGGCGAGCTCGTAAACCTTTTTTCTCTCCGCATACTCCGTTGGCTCCGGTGTTTGGTAATCCTGAGTTTGTTCCGGGTTTGTCTTTCGCGGGGTTCCAATGGTGGATTAATAAGGGTTTGCTACGTATTGGTGATTATTTAGATGGGGTTCGCCCTCGGTCTCGTCAGTATTTTGTGAATTTTTGTGGGATGCCTCGTGGAGAGATATTTCGTTACCATCAACTTCGCTCTTTTATTGATAGCAAACTTAGACTACTCACAGAACCTTGTGCGCTTACTTCCCTCGAGGTCTCCTGTGGGGCGAGTGGGGTAATGCGGGGTCGCTTGTCCATTGTTTATGCTTTGTTGGTTGATCCTCTAACAAAATTGTCTTACATGACTTTATGGGAACGGGATTTAAATAGTTCATTGGATTTGGATACCTGGCGGACGGCGGCCCATGCCTTATCGAAGATTTCGATTAACACTGATCTTGTTGAATCTAATTACAAGACGCTACTTCGGTGGTATTTGGTCCCTGCTCGCCTAGCCATTATGTATCCTTCCGTTTCTTCTGCCTGTTTCCGACGCTGTGGTCAAGAGGGTACTATGTTCCATGTCTGGTGGACATGCCCAGTCGTGAGTAGGTTCTGGATCCGCATATTTAATTTTCTTTACTCAGTGACAGGAATTAATATCCGTAGATCGCCGGAAGTAGCCTTGTTTAATATACTACCCTCTGATGTTCCCAAAAGATCGATTAAACTAATTGTATATATCTTATTGGCGGCTCGCATTACTATAGCTAGGAGTTGGAAGCAATCTTTGATCCCGCTGGATAGGGTGAAACAAAAACTGAACTGGATAATGGTTAATGATAAACTGACGAGTATCGTCTCTGATGATGTGTCCAGATTTGAGAGGACTTGGGATCCTTGGATTGCTTATCTTACTGTATCGTGAGTGTCTGCAGCTGACCCCCCCCCCCCCCCCCCCCTCCTTTCTCTATTTTTCCTCTTTTTTTCTCTTTTCCTACTATTTGTTAAACATTTTTATTTTTCTTTGTTATTTTTGGTCTATTTTGCTATAATTGTTGTTTATTGATCTTTGAAACTTGTATATTTTGATGGCTTTGACTTTTTTCATGTGCATTGTAATGCTATTATCTGCTAAATTTTTTTTTTTTTTTTTTACCTACCAGTATTATGTTTATGATTCTGAATCTGGTTCCATTTTGTTGGTGGGCCCTTTCTTTTTTTTTTCTTTTCTTTTATTGTTAGCCATCTTGTTTTAATATGTTTATTTCTCAATAAAAATATTGAAATATAAAAAGAAGGAACGCACCGGTGAGCTCAGCAACACCAAAAGACCCGGAAGACCACGGAAAACAACTGTGGTGGATGACCGAAGAAGAATTCTTTCCCTGGTGAAGAAAACACCCTTCACAACAGTTGGCCAGATGAAGCACACTCTCCAGGAGGTAGGTGTATGTGTGTCAAAGTCAACAATCAAGAGAAGACTTCACCAGAGTGAATACAGAGGGTTCACCACAAGATGGAAACCATTGGTGAGCCTCAAAAACAGGAAGGCCAGATTAGAGTTTGCCAACGACATCTAAAAAGGCCTTCACAGTTCTGGAACAACATACTATGGACAGATGAGGCCAAGATCAACTTGTACCAGAGTGATGGGAAGAGAAGAGTATGGAGAAGGAAAGGAACTGCTCATGATCCTAAGCATACCACCTCATCAGTGAAGCATGGTGGTGGTAGTGTCATGGCGTGGGCATGTATGGCTGCCAATGGAACTGGTTCTCTTGTATTTATTGATGATGTGACTGCTGACAAAAGCAGCAGGATGAATTCTGAAGTGTTTCGGGCAATATTATCTGCTCATATTCAGCCAAATGCTTCAGAACTCATTGGACGCCACTTCACAGTGCAGATGGACAATGACCCAAAGCATACTGCAAAAGCAACCAAAGAGGTGTTTAAGGGAAAGAAGTGGAATGTTATGCAATGGCCAAGTCAATCACCTGACCTGAATCCGATTGAGCATGCATTTCACTTGCTGAAGACAAAACTGAAGGGAAAATGCCCCAAGAACAAGCAGGAACTGAACACAGTTGCAGTAGAGGCCTGGCAGAGCATCACCTGGGATGAAACCCAGCGTCTGGTGATGTCTATGTGTTCCAGACTTCAGGCTGTAATTGACTGCAAAGGATTTGCAACCAAATATTAAAAAGTGAAAGTTTGATTTATGATTATTATTCTGTCCCATTACTTTTGGTCTCTTAACAAGTGGGAGGCACATATGCAAACTGTTGTAATTCCTACACCGTTCACCTGATTTGGATGTACATACCCTCAAATTAAAGCTGACAGTCTGCAGTTAAAGCACATCTTGTTCATTTCATTTCAAATCCATTGTGGTGGTGTATAGAGACAACAACATTAGAATTGTGTCGATGTCCCAATATTTATGGACCTGACTGTATATCTAACCAATATATTAATAATATTGACTGTAAAAATACCTCATATATAAATGTTCAATCTATTGTTCAGATCAAGAGGTGCTCTTGTATGCAGAGTGAAGATCTACCACACTTGCTGTATAGATGGATACATTCTCTTTTTCTGGTATAGAATGGGTTAACAAACCACTCAGAGGGGGGCACACATAACATCTTATTACAGCAGGAAGTGTGGTGGATTTACACTCTGCATACAGGAGATGTATTTTTAAATTCAATATTATTATTGGTTAGATATAAAGCAAACAAATAGATGGATACTTAATGACATTGTTTGCTTTTTTTGGGGGGGTTGGAGTAACTGCTGTTAGATCCACTCCATAGTTTGAGAATTGTTCTTAATTGTTTTAAATTGATTCAGTCCTTCATCTGTAATTAATTATAGAGCAGCTTTAGGAAGATATATAAATTGCTATTTTTTTTAATGTTATTTTTATGCTATGAGGAAGGCCATTGCGGCCGAAATGCGTTAGTATTTTAGACACTGTATGCATTGACATATAGCCAATAAAGGTTTTGTAACTAAGAGTTAACCGAGTTGCAGGATTTTTGATTGTAGACATGCTTTCTTGTATAAATTATTTGGGTGGCCAGATCATTATATGTACTGTAAGTGATCCTGGTTGCCTGGGACCTCTATGGTGGGTGTCATAGCTTTTTCAGCCCCCTTGTGATAGCCAAAAAAGTTAAGTTAAAAAAAAATAGGAAAGTTTATTAAACTAAATCAAAAACACCCCTACAACATTTTTAAAAGCCCCCCCCATGTTCACATATATAAATGGAAACGCAGGGAAGACTAACAAAAAGAGACTCCTAACAGAATTGCAAGATCAGAAACGAAGAAAAAAAAGAAAATAATGAAGAAAGATCAACCTGTCTTCTTGTCATGTATCTCCAGTTCTACTTGCCCAAACCCATAAAAAACCTCTCAAAATGACAAGAACAACCGCATTCACAGAGCTGACATGATTAAGGTAAATTCAATAAAAGAGGCCTGAGATTTTTTTTCTCTCAACATAAGGGCTCTACTTTGCTTCATTAATAATGGTATCAAGTTTTTTGCAGTATTCAGCAAATGTGGTAGAAGGTAGGGTTGCACTGATACCATATTTTTTGCACTTGCCGATATCAATTACTGATACCCTTGTGGTATGATTTGAGCCCATTGAGCCCATACAAAATGAATGAGCTCAAATCGCACTGCAAAGAATCACATGTGATTTGAACAGGAATGTGGTGCGATTCTTATCCGAATCACACACGATTTCCCTGTGGGTGAAGTGCAATTTACAGTGCGATTTGAGCCATACAAAATAAATGGCTCAAATTGCGTTGCAAATCACACTGCACCCGCAGGGAAATCGCATGTGATTAGGACAGGAATCACTCTGTTACTTCAACTGAAGTAGTGCAATTTCAGTTCAAACTACATGCGATTGTTTGCAGTGCAAATTAAGCCCATTCATTTTATATAGGTTCAAATCACTCCGCAAAGGTATCGGTTTCAGGTATCAGAACATTTGCACAAGTACGAGTACTCATGCAAATGCTTAGCATCGGCATCAGAGCAACCCTAGTAGAAAGGATTTTTTTATGTGACCCAAGAGACATAGAGATGGCATAAAAAATAACCACAAGTGGATCATCTGGAAGACATACACTATATTGCCAAAAGTATTGGGAAACCCCTCCAAATCATTGGATTCAGGTGTTCCAATCACCTCCTTGGCTACAGGTGTATAAAATCAAGATCCTAGGCATGCCGACTGCTTCTACAAACATTTGTGAAAGAATGGGTCGCTCTCAGGAGCTAAGTGAGTTCAAGCGTGGCACCGTGATAGGTTGCCACCTGTGTAATAAGTCCATCCATGAAATTTCCTTGCTTCTAAATATTCCACGGTCAACTGTATTATAACAAAGTGGAAGCAACTGGGAACAACAGCAACTCAGCCACTAACTGATAGGACATGTAAAATGACAGAACAGAGTCAGTGAATGCTGAAGCACACAGTGAGCAGAAGTCTCCAACTGTCTGCAGAGTCAATAGCTAAAGACCTCCAAATTTTGTGTGGCTTAAAGATTAGCACAACAGTGCATAGAGAGCTTCATGGAATGGGTTTCCATGACCGAGCAGCTGCATCCAAACCTTACATCACCAAGTGTAATGCAAAGCATTGGATGCAGTGGCATAAACCACGCCACTGGACTCTAGAGCAGTGGAGACGTGTTCTCTGGAGTGACGAATCACGATTCTCTGTCTTGTAATCAGATGGACATGTCTGAGTTTGGTGGTTGCCAGGAGAACAGTACTTGCCTGACTGCATTGTGCCAAGTGTAAAGTTTGGTAGAGGGGGGATTATGGTGTGGGGTTGTTTTTCAGGGGTTGGGCTTGGCCACTTAGTTCCAGTGAAGAAAATTCTTAAGGTGTCAGCATACCAAGACATTTTGGACAATTTCATGCTCCCAACTTTGTGGGAATAGTTTGGGAATGTCTCCTTCCTCTTCCAACATGATTGCGGTACAGTGCAAATAGCAAAGACTATAAAGACATACAGTTGCAAGAAAAAGTATGTGAACGCCTTGGGATTACGTGGAGTTTTGCATGAATTGGGCATAAAATGTGCTCTGAACGTCATCTAAGTCACAACAATAAAAGAACACAGTCTGCTGAACATAATACTACACAAACATTAGATGTTGCCATGGTTTAATTGCACATAACATGTAAACATTCACAGTGCAGGGAGGAAAAAGTATGTGAACCTTTGGACTTAATAACTGGTTGACCCTCCTTTGGCAGCAATAACCTCAACCAAACGTTTCCTGTAGTTGCAGATCAGACCTGCACAACAATCTGGAGTAATTTTGGACCACTCCTCTTCACAAAACTGTTTCAGTGTAGCAATATTCTTGGGATGTCTGGTGTGAATCGCTCTCTTAAGGTCATGCCACAGCATTTCAATCAGGTTGAGGTCAGGACTCTGACTGGTCCACTCCAGAAGGCGTATTCTGTGCTGTTGTAGCCATTGTTTTGTTGAATTACTTGTATGCTTTCGGTCATTGTCCTGTTGCATCACCCATCCTCTGCGGAGCTTCAGTTGACGGACAGATGGTCGTACGGTTTCCTGCAAAATGTCTTGATAAACTCTGGAATTCATTTCCCCGTCAATGACAACAATCTGTCTAGGCCCTGAGGCAGCAAAGCAGCCCCAAACCATGATACTCCCTCCGCCATGTTTTACAGTGGGGATGAGGTTTTGATGTTGGTGTGCTGTGCCTTTTTTTCTCCACACATAGTGTTGTGTGTTCTTCCCAAACAACTCAATCTTGGTTTCATCTGTCCACAGTATATTTTGCCAGTAGTGCTGTGGAACATCCAGGTGCTCTTTTGCAAACTTCAAACGTGCTGCAATATTCTTTTTGGACAGCAATGGCTTCCTCTGTGGTGTCCTCCCATGTACTCCATTCTTGTTTAATGTTTTCCTTATTGTAAATGTGTCAACATAAATGTTAGCATGTGCCAGAGATTTCTGTAGGCCTTTAGCTGACACTCTGGGATTCTTCTTTACCTCATGCAGCATTCTGCGCTGTGCTCTTGCAGTCATTTTTACAGGACGACCACGCCTAGGGAGAGTAACAACAGTGCTAAACTTTCTCCATTTGTAGACTCTGTCTTACCATGGACACATGAACATCAAGGCTTTTGGAGATACTTTTGTAACCCTTTCCAGCATCATGCAAGTCAGCAATTCTTGATTGTAGGTCTTCTGAGAGCTCTTTTCTGCGAGGCATGGTTCACATCAGACAGTGCTTCTTGAAACCAGTAAACCCAAAACAGGTGTGTGTTTTTTAAGGGCAGGACAGCTGTCTGCAACACATCCAATATCATCACACTGATTGGAGTCAAGGTTGGCTCACTCCTGGCTCCAATTAGCTCTGGGAGAAGTCATTAAGCTAGGGCCTCACATACTTTTTCCTCCCTGCACTGTGAATGTTTACATGTTATGTGCAATTAAACCATGGCAACATCTAATGTTTGTGTAGTATTATGTTCAGCAGACTGTGTTCTTCTATTGTTGTGACTTAGATGACGTTCAGAGCACATTTTATACCCAATTTATGCAAAACTCCAATCCCAAGGGGTTCACATACTTTTTCTTGCAACTGTAGATGAGAGAGATTGGGATGGAGGAACTTGACTGGCCTGCACAGAGTCCTGACCTCAACCGGACAGAACACCTTTGGGATGACATAAAGTGGAGACTGCAAGCCAGGCCTTCTCGTCCGACATCAGTGCCTGACCTCACAAATGCACTTTTGGACGAATGGTCAAACATTCCCATAGACACACTCCTAAACCTTCTGGACAGCCTTCCCAGAAGAGTTGAAGCTGTTATAGCTGCAAAGGGTGGGCCAACTCAATATTGAACCCTAAGGACTATGACTGGGATGCTATTAAAGTTCATGTGCGTGTAAAGGCAGGCGTCCAAATACTTTTGGCAATATAGTTTAGGTTTCATTCCTCTGTGTTATTGGACCTGCTCACAAAACTGAGGCATTATGGTTGAATTGTAGGGTTGGCTTAATATTTTTTTCCCCAGTGTTCCAAACTCTTGAAGGTGGCACCATAACTCAACTGTTTAGGAATTTCTGCAATTTCTGTGTCCCTCAAAGGAATTCGGAAAGATTTTACTATAAGTACAAAAATCTTATTTGTTTTTTTTTTCTAAATGCATTGATAGGATATTAAAACAAGAGGCAAGGGACTCCTTTAGCACAGATCAACAAATTGTTGCTACCTCTTTCTGTGAGTCCAGGTCTGTTGTCTTTGCCTATCAGGGCTCTTAGTTACATGCTGATGGACTTTATGACAGTATGATTAATATCCCCACATAGTTCCTTACTTTCCGTGTTCTTCATACACCTGCCGCTACTGGTGTGAACTGGAATGAATAATAAATATGCAAAACTTGCTTATAATGCTGCAAAGCATGTTCCTTGTGTGTGCATTTTTACCCAGAGCTCTTGCAACATAACATGGCAAAATCATTAAACCATCCGCTTTAACTCTTTCAAGTTCATTTCACAGCACATCTGTTTTGTAGTAAAATGATTGCGGAGGTTGGAAATGATCAAACTGCTCACAACATATTTCATTCTTGCTGTACTTTAAAATTAGCTATCAATATCATAATCGGGGCTCATTAAGTGCTGTACTAGTGAGGTTCTTTGTGATTTTGTGGTCAATTCTTTTGCACATTTCCCCAGGCTGTTTTTTTTCTTTTTGGTTTCCTAATTCATTTGTAATTCTTTGAAAACTATTTCCAACTTTGGGATAAATCTTGAAAGGATAACCCGTCAGGACTGATTATGTCTTGATTGACTCCCCCTCCCTCTCTGTTGAGGAAATGCACAGAATATGTTTTTTCTCAAGGAATGGCTTGAATAATTAGGTGGAAGGAAAGCTTTCTTTGGGTCTGTATCCTATGAACCACCATCATTTCACTAAATAAATAAAGTATTTTTCTTAAACAAGAGCAACAGTTAAAGAACCATTTTGGTGTACATTAAAACAACACTCAGATTGTCCTGTTATAAATACCACAACTGAATAATGAGCACAATTCATATTGCAGGAATGGAGTTTTTATTGACATAAATTAGATAGTAATGAGGAAAGTGCATAGCCCACCCAAACAGCAGCTTTTTAAGGGGATGTTTTTTTCATAGTCTAACAATTGAGGAAGGAGAACTGTGTATGGAAATTTTAGGGGTGATGAGAAATGTAGAACACATTTCTGAACTGTTACCATGTTGAAACGAGAAATACATAAATATTGGATAAGAAAAGTAATTTTAAAGTGGAACTCTAGCTAAAACGTTTATTTTCCAGTTGTGAAAAATCTGGAGAGGGGGTTAGAATGTCTGTCTGGTCTTGTTGCTGCCTGTGTTGGGGAGATTTCCCTTCATTTCACACATGTGGTCAGGGTGGTAGAGGAAAATCTGCCCAACAGGGACAAAGGGGACAAAAATAACAATTAAAACATAATGAATGCTTTAACACCTCCCCACTTTATGAAAAGGCAAATTTATTGATTTGCTAAAAAAGAAGAGACCTACACTTAGCAAAGTGAATGTTGACTATGAAAAGTGATTGCTTACCGAGCTTAGCAATTAGGTTGAAGATAGGTTAATTTTCAACAACCAATTATGTCTGCAAAAATACACTTTTAAATTTCCTTACTACATGATTGGGTATTCAAAGTGAGCACAGACACACCTTACTTACTAATAATTACTTTGTAATATGAGTATTCACTTCGTAAATTAAATGACCTCTTCAATTAGTAACATAAACTCTATGGTGTATGTACCATAAGTGAAGACAATAATAAATACCTAACAGGGGTTCTAACCATTCTCTATTTTATCCAAAACATAAAAAAACTTTTTATTCAAAATCAATTAAAGAACATCGAGGGCCATTTACATCTTTGTGTTGTAGCAATGCATGTAACATTTTCTGACTTTTTGTGTTGCAGTGCCATTCATTTTGAATGGTACCCCAATGAATTGATGTAATGTATATGCATTGCAATGCATGATTATGTCCCATAGTGCATCACAGGGCTTTGTATTACAAAAATTTGTGGCATGTCTGATTTCTGGGATGTTTTGGTTCATAGGCAAAACATTCATTTCAATAAAATGCCTTAACACAACGCACCTTAACACATCACAAACAGATGTAAATGAGCCCTAATAGAAGATGAAACCGTTAAATGAAAGCAAAAAAACACAGCAGAATCAATGTAATGAAAAATAAAGAAAATTAATGCAAGCAGTAAACTAGTGGTAGAAAGAGTCAGTGCAAAAGGGCCCTTAGGTAGTTTGATTGACAGAGGCGTCTGATGTGGTTGTTCAAAGGATAGGTACAAATCGTCTGCTTTAGTAAAACATCCAATTACTTTATTTTACCAAATAAAACGTGTTTAGTTGCTTTAAATTGCCACTTCCTCAGTTCAAGGTGATAAAATTGGTGCCTGTGGATAAAAAGTTGTCATGGGGTACAATAGGTATGTAACATAACTCAAAAGCACAGTCTAAAAAACAAAGACTTAAAACATATAAAAAAGCAATCAAATATACAAGGGAGAAGTGTGCAAAAAATAAAATGTAGCAGTCAGGGCAATTCTGTCAACGATTCAAAATCGTAAAGTGTGAATGCAGCTGTAATGTTGGACATGGAAGGAAGAATGAATTTGGAGCTCTTTTTAGCTACATGTAACTTTTTGTGCTCCCAGGCATCACTGTTGGGGTCAGTGTGGGATTAATAGG